GCAGGCTAGTCGCTCTACTAGTCATGCCACTTTCTCTGGGCAAGAGTGCTTGGGTCTCTTGGGTCATTAAAATTTTCAGACTCCTTTAGGACAAACTCTTCGTGGTCTTTCCACACAAGCTTTAAATTTTGGTGAAAAGAACTTCGGACAACTATGTGAATTTTAAGTTTTATTAGTGACCATAGATGGTAAATTAAAATATGAACTATACACAATTATACTTAATGTTCTAAGACTAATAGTACAATATAAACCTCTTAACGCGCCTAATTATTGACGACAATATATTACAAGTCGTCTTACTAGTTAACTGCCGAGTCAATCTTTAACAGTGCCATACAGTGTAGTCTGTACTTTATTGTATTTATCGTATTCAATGGCAGTTATTTTACCGGTTATTTGAACTTGTGCTTTTGAGACTGACTTATTTGCAATTAACTGAGGCCCCGTCCCGTCCACACATATCCGATTTTATTTATTTCATTTATTTATCCTTACGTGTGGGCGGGACCTAATTTTTTGTACAACGAACAGTCTATTTTATCAAAAGATATAACAATAGAGGCCTTTTAGGACTAGACTACGAGTAGTCCCCCATTTTTCCTCAGGGATAGTAGAGCGAGCGAAACGAGAGCGCGCGTGAAAATCACCCCACGCGAGAAAAGGCGACACGCGGCGTGTCGCCTTTTCTCGCGTGGGTGATTTTCACGCGCGCTCGCGTTTCGCTTGCTCTACTATCCCTGAGGAAAAACTGGGGACTACTTGTAGTCTATTTTAGGACAAGAATCGACTTTAAGTGTTTTAAGTATTCTCAAAAAAAAGATACCCTGCGAAGCTTCATTTTACTTTTTCTAGAATGACTACGGCTCTCGCTTAATTTTTTCCCGCCAAAATGACGCTGGTTCACGCGCTCGCAATACTTAGTGTTAAGAAAATCGCGTTTGTCTTGTAGTTGTCCTTGTCTTAGAATCTAAAGTTCTCTAATACCATAGAACGTCTAACTTAGAACAAAGTGACTATGGAACGAAGAGACCGGCTACCCTTTCGGCTTATACGCAACTCGATGATCTCCTTGTATGGTTTTCGGGTGTTTTCGGAAGTTGGTCGGCTTATCGTCTGACAGTCTACACCTATCATCTGTCTTTTGATCTTTCTCTTTCGTCATATCTCATCATCTTCTTCTTCAATCTCCTCTTCGACATCGCTTTCAGTGTCCTCCAGCTTTTCAGCATTAGAAGCCTGACTACCAAATCTGTAGTCAGCACCCGAAGAGCGCCTGGACCCGCTGTAATTCAACTGGGATCCAGTCTCTTGAAGCTCATCCTCTGACTCGGCATCCACAATTCCGCCTTCCTTGGTAACCAGGTTTTGAACAAGCGCCTCGTCCACGCCTGCGCTTCGCAGAATATCCGCATACTTGCGCTCTGCAGCACGTCTCGCAGTAGCCTGGGATTGTTGTTCAAAGAGCAGCGGTCGTTTGTTTACACGCTCCTGCATCTCTTGAAGTTCACGTTGGTATTCCTCTCTACGCGCTCGATCACTTTCTCTAAAAGAAACGGATACGAATATCAGGTCAGTTCGGCCATAATTTGCACAGTGACAAGGGACGTCTAAGACGTCTAGACGCATTGAACGATCATTGAAGGATTGGCCGACAAGAAAAAAAAGGCTTTAACGTCTGAGGACGTCTAAGACATTTATTAAGAGCGCCGATCAGGCACACGTATACTAGACGACTTCAGGCGTTTTTAAAGAAGTCCTCTCGTTATAAATACGGCCACTCTCACAGTGGTTAAAGAGTTCCAACATCATGTTCCAGTGACGGCCACGTGACTATTTCCATGTTTATTACCCTTATTGTTTGTCGCTTTGTGTGAATGTTCAGAAAAAAAGCACGTTACTGTTTCATCGTTCTCCGATACATTTTCTATCATAAAGCCATATTTGCAGTTTGCCGGCAAATACTTCAACGACCAAGTGCTCGAATGTACTTCCCGCTTTTCATTACTTGAGATAAAAAAGCAAACAAACTAGACTAGCTGCAAGGCTTTATAAAAGGGCATCTTTTTAGTACGTTACAAGTTAAAAGACCTTACCCCAGAAAGACGGATTGTGTGATTTGTTCTCGACAGAACAGCAGAGCTTACTCGCAGGCTAGAAAGAACTGGGCTTTAAGACTTAAAAGAGTCAAAAGATATGAAAGATTGGAGTCGGCCGCTTACGGAAACGATTTGGTAGCGGAAAGCTAAAAGGGGGATTTGCCAAGGCGGCCCTAAGTAGAACTGTCTGCTTATGTGATTGTACTTAGGGAGAGCTTTGACTGCATAATAACACAGCGATAAGAATCCTATCTCTCAATGCTTCGAATCTGTCAACATTAAGACAATCAGAGCATGACACCAGAAACATCGTCCCAGGAAAAGTTCAACATGACCATGGTTCTGACCTGAAACTTTGAACTTTTTCCTTTGCGGCTTTTTTCAGCTGCCCGCTATTATCATTCGCCAAAACTTTTCTCGTCACTTCTGGTTTTAACATCTTCTGTCTCCGTCTCCTACGTTGTTCTTGTTTAATCTCATCCTGTTCACTGGCTCTCCGCTGTTCAAGGCTCTTACGAACCGTGTTCTCGCGCAGACGCGTAGACTCCGTGGTGCTGAAAGAGAACAATAGTAACTGTTACTTTTACACAGCCCGCGAACGGAGGGAGTCGCGAGAAGTCACGCGAGAGCTGCACGCGTTCTCTCGCAGCACGCTCCGCTCGCCAGAAATGGGAGGAGATGTTAGGGAAAAAAATGAAGACTTCCATCGGGATGAAAGACCCGGCTCACACCCCTTTCACCCATAGAGGCACGCACGTGACACCGCTGTAGGTAATGCGAGTGCTCCTCTGGTTAGAGGTGATGAGAGAGAAGAAATAAATGTTTCTAATTCAAAGTTTGCATGTTGAACACAGTAGAAACATTTAGATTTGAGGACAAAAACGACTACGAGTAAGAGATTTGATTTAAAGCTTTTTCGCGTATTCTCAAAAATTAGATTTCCCCGAAAGCTTCACTGTCCTTTTTTTTCCCTTCCTTTGCTTAAAGCCCTCTCCCCATCGCAAAATGATAAAACTTCTAACATTTGATAACTCATTTTCGCCACTACGACATTAGGGACCTTACGAAACTACGACGGCGACAGCAACAGGATCTTCAAAAAAGCAGTGGGTTTCATAAGCAAAACAACAACTCTGCACGTGCATCACGCTTTTTTTGTACATTTCTTTGCCGTCCCTACATAACTAGGACGTGAATTGACCAAATTTCAAGTTCACCTGGGAACGGAAACGGCAAGGCGATAAATTCTACTATGCCTGTGAGAACTGGGGCGTGGTCCCTTCTCTTCAGCTCCAACCCAATTCCCTTCTGTTCAGTAACTGAGCCCCTTAGAATAATCGAGAAAAAAAGTGGAAGGATGCCAAGTCTATTTTTCAGCGACGTTTTTATGGACGTCGCCGTTGTCGCATAGTAAGGTCCCTATTCTCGCTAAAACTCGTCTTAGAATGACGCCGGCTGTCACGTTTTCCCGCCAAAATGACGCTGATTCACGCACGCGCGCGCAATGCCCGGTATTAAGAAAATCTCGTCCTCATAGTATAGTCGTCCTTGTCTTAGAATCTAAAGGTCTCTAATTTCTCGCGAGGCCAAACTAAGAAGCATCTGCTTCAACTCAATTTAGCCAGACTTGCTCCAAATCGACCTCTCATTAGTTTCGCCAAATCGATACTCACAACTCTTTCGATCTGCAGTTTTCATCGATTTCCGATATTAATCGATTAATTACTATCGATTAAGATAGATTACAATCGATTTTATCTAGTTTTCAATTTCATCGATTGGGCACGCCGGGAAGAAAGTGGCCCTTGTGGAGAGCTGACCGTTGTAGAGAGGTTTAAACAAGGGTCAATGTATGGACTGTCCACCAAAAAAGTAGCAGTTGTGAAAAGGTGGTCGTTAGTGGAGGTTTGACTGTAAGAAGATATTTTAAATTCGCGTCAAATCGTTCTAAAAATAACCGGGTCGGTAAAAGCGTCGTGACACAAGTACATGGAAGTTGCTCTCTCTGGGTAATGGGCTCCAGGTTAAACAATAATGTCAACAAAGACTCGCCTATATACCTACCCAAATGGAAGCGTATCGTGAGGAGTGTGAGGCCTGGCACTCGAAGGTCGTTCCCGGCTGACCGATCGATCCCTGGACAATCGACCACTGATGGGTATCTCCTGAGACCGCGAGCACCTGGATTTCCGAGCAGTGGACACATGCGCCGTTCTTAGGTTGAATGGTTCGGACACAGTAGGTTCCCGTTCTCTTTTCTTGTCCCTCATCTCCTTTTCAAACTGTCTGTGCAGATCGTCAAAATCCGGTATATCAGGATTTATCTGGGGTCTAAACTTATGTTCTTTTGTCATGAAGGCGTTCTTGTTGCCTTCTTTATTCAATTTGCTGCGAAAATGACCCAAAGTGTATTCTTCACCCCGCGCTTCCATATTAGGAGGTAAGCGGGACACGGCAAGCATTTCTTGCGCGCGCATTCGCATTTTAATCGTTCTATATTCTTCCTTCTCAGCCACCTTGTCAGCCAAAGTCAAATCGAACAAGTGATCAGGAAAAGGATTCGCTTTAAATTTCTTCTTTTCTTCCATTTTGTTCTCTAGATCAGCTATATTACTAAGGGATTTTGTTCGCCGCAGCTGTTTCTTTTCTTCTTCGCGTTTCACGAACTTAAACGGTTTTTCAGTGGATTTTAGAATCGCTTTGCTGAGCTCCCTAACTTGGTATCTCCTCAATTCATTTTGACGAGTTATTTCATCGTAAAGAGGCAAAAAAGTCGTAGCAGGAACAGGCTGAGCGCGGAATTTTTTATGCAGCTCTGCTTCCTCTTTTTCTTGTTTCTTTTTCAAATCCTCCTGAAGAATCGCCTGCGATCTTGTGATTTTTGCTTTCTTCTTAGCTTCTCTCACCGTCATACCAAATGGTTTAGGAATTGTTATCTGCGGAGTCCATTCTTTTTTCTTTTGCATTCTTTCGCGCGGAGGGCTCGATTCTGGCGGATAATCATAAACGGAGAATCCTTCCCACATGTCTTCAACAACATCCAATGCGGACGACCTCCGCGGATACATTTCCTGGTATAAACCTGTCCCATCGTCTGATTGTTTACTCGTTGAATTTATCGTTTCATCGTCCCAGGCTTCAGGATCACTGTAGGATCTTCTCCGCGGAGTTAGCAGCTCCTCTAGAGAAGAGTCACCTGCAGAAGGGTACATGAAGTAAAAAGTTAGTATTCGCACCTATACCACGCCCTCCTTATATTGCTGTCTTTCTCGGGAAGGAGGAAAACAAAATTTCCTGATCGTATTACCCTGTGAAGCCACAGTGAAAACTGCATGAGAGATGTTAAGACATAAGGGGAAAAGAGCAAAGAGATCATAATTATGAGAGGGGAATTGAAAATCTATGGAAAAATCTGCATCCAGTGTGGGTCCGTCCAGTATTCTATAGGCCTGATTAATTTTGGCAACGAGCTCATCTACTTTTGCGATACTTGCGGCGATGGTTTATTGAATTTACTGACCAAAATTTGTTGTTTTTCCTGCAATCGGCAACAATTTAATCAGTCTAGACACTTTGCCCTAAAGGGCCACTTTAAAATTTTGCCAATTTCAAAAACAGAATATAAGGCTTTCCCACCCCAACCCCTCAGTACAACATTGTGCTGCTGTTCAAGCTACCCAAAGAAAACGGCAAACACCACAACTTTAACTGGAGGGGAGAAGGAAAGGGTGTGTTTTGTGTTGTTCTCCGAAGTTACCCCATGTGAGGACAATGTCTCAACAATTTTATTGTCGAATAAAGCCCCTACAATCATTATTAGGGTTGCTCAGGCAGTTTTTAAGGCATGAGCGTGGGGCTTGACTCCCAAGCCCCACCTCAGATCCCCAATAACACCACTGTACAGGCTAGTTTCCCACCCAACAAGCAAATCAGCGTAAGAGTCATTATGAAGCTAAGCCCATAACAGGTGAAAAAGGCAAAGACAAGCAAGATGAGTGATGCAATGATTTCGATTTCGTTTCTGAGAGTGTCAATGGTGTGGCAGCTTTGATGGTTGACTGTTTCTGTCTTTTTTCCAATTTTGATGGTGGACACCCTTTTATGAACTTTTGAACATCTTCAGATATAAGCAAGTTGCAAGGTCTTGTAATGTTTAGATAGAGTGCGAAGAAGAAATACTGGGGCAATTTATAAAAGGAAAAATGAGACGCCCCCTAAATAAGATAAGATGCAAACTCCTCATGTCCACTGATCATGATGTAAGACATGTATAAATGGCCCTAATAATAATAATTTTTACCTTCATTTTCCTTGTCCTCTATTTTTCTTTGATCTTTTACTGACATGTCCTTGACTAGATCTTTTGGCATGACTGGGATTTCGATGTTTTCTTCTCGCTTATCTTTATCCCTCTCTTCAAAGGGATTATAATCATGTAAAGGAAAATGCTGTGGGATTCTTCTTTCGTCAAAGTCGCCGAGACCTATTTTAGTCCTTGAATCCAATTCAAATCCAGCAAGGTGTCTGTCTTTTTCGGTATAATAAAGTTTTTCAACAGCTTTTAGAGTTTTCTTGTGTTCATTTTTCAAAGCCAACAAATGCTGGTAAAAGTGTTCTTCGTCAACATCGTCTAACTCCCGCAGAGACTCCGACAACGACTCCCTAACTGACAGTTTGGGCTTATGACCTTTGTGGTGTCTTTTGTGACTACGCGAAGATGGAGGCCTGTTAGCACCATTTACTTCCAAACCATAGTTTGCTGGTTGTTCAGCTTCTAAACTAGTTCTTGTTCTTTCATTCGTCGTGGCAGGTAGCTCTGTTCTGGGATGTCTTGGCGCTTTATAACAGAGATTTCTCATAACGGCCCCTCCATGACCAGACGCCATATTGAACTGAACTCATAACAACCGCTGTGTTTTGTCTTGACAACCAAGACAAATGACTTTCTTCCCAGGGTAGGGTAGCAAGAACCTTATGACCTGACCCACACTGATTAAGTTATGGAAGCTCAAGAAAGCTTTTAGGTAGAATTATAGAAGAAAAATATTTTCTGTGTAAACTGGTGTTTTCTATTTATGACAATTCTCTATGAATTTGTGATATTGTAGAATATAAGATCTTTTTGTACCCCTCCTCTCCAGGCAAAAGAGTTTGGAGCAGGAAAGCCTCGTTTCATTGTTGTCGTTCCCATTCCCTTTGGTAATAGCCACGGTCTCTAGAATTCAAAATGTCGGAGGCGGCGTTGTACGTGTTTAGTCTCATCGATGGAGCTTGCCTATTATTTCTCACTGTATATTTTGTATCCTTCCATCAACTTATTAACTTTAATAACTTAGCTACTTTTTTATCTTTCATTCGCTTAAAAGTGGAGATGCGCCGCAAATTTAGCCTAACACTTTGCGTCTAAAGCAAAAAAAAGTATAAGAAATGAGCCAAGTCGTTTAGTTTACATGATATTGTATCATCTTCGACCTAAACAAACACTTCCACACTGCATAATTGTTACAAAGAAATTGTCATGAATATGATTGCTGTCAATATTTTTCACGTAATTATTTATTTCATACACATTTACGAGTGAATTTTTCGTAGCGAAAAAAAAATTATATGTATGAGCTTTATTTGTCTTGTGGAAATTCCTTGACATGCAATTTGTGTAAAATAATCAGATCATTAATTTATCGGACTTAGAGTGCGACTACATCAATGCAACTACATGCTGTCGAAGACTTAACGTGGTAGGTGTTTAACAAGAGTTATTGAACCTGGTCTTTTTCTAAAAATCATACAGTCTATCTGACATCTTCTAACCACACCCAGTTAAGATACAAGTCTTAATTTAAGTGCCAGAGACAAAAATATTTTATAGATTGCTATTTTCCAGGGTATACCGTTTAATCCAGTAAATAATTACACCATTTATTACAGGTGAAATCCCTGAAATATCTTTAAATTCCTACTTTTTGTGCTCTGTCAATCAACAGGGATTGCATTTACCAACACAGCAATAAATTCTGTGTAGCCAATCCAATACAAGATCACTCCACCTCCTTTGGTTGAGCTACAGTAAAGTGGGAAACAAAAACCTGCAACTTGTTTTGAAACATTGCTGTGAAATGAGTCGAAGGGCAATGTTGTGCATTTAACCACCCACATTCGAACCTGTCTTCAAAAAATCAGGTTGCTGCAAGGTGTGTGAATACTGCCCTCTGAGTGGATAAAATTGTGCTGTAGTCATGCCTTACTTGGGAGTTAAGTCAATTGTTGCAGCAACATGTACAGAACTAACTCTCTACATTCTGCAACAAATTTTCACAACCTACAACAATCTCATTTGTCGCAAGATGATTCCTGGCCAGAAGGGTGTCCATGCAGCCGTCCCATGGACACCCTTTTTTGGAAGGAATACAAGGAAATTCACTTAATCTCTTATAATTTAATGGGAAACATGTCTTCTGGACGGCCAGTTTTCAAGGTCTGGCTAGAAGCCTGTTCCTGGGGGGTAAAATGTGCCACATTGCTATTCAACTTATTTAGCAGCAACATTGCTAAATAGTTTCCCCCTTTTCACCCTACCCTTAAATTCACTTGACACAGTCCAGTGATTGCATGTGATACACTGTCTTGGAACACTGTTCTTAATTTATAAACATTGTGCTTGAAAAGTATGGTACAGACGTTAGTGAAGTTAGCACCTTTTGCATTCAGATTTTTTCTGGGTCCTTGATGACATTGTTTTTATTTTCAGTGGATTCTACCAGAAATGGTTGCTCATGGAGTTATAACTGTACTTCTCCTCGTCCATTTCCAGTGGATATTTTTCTTAATCAATGCTCCTTTATCAGGGTGGCTTATTTATAGGTGGGTCTAATTTCATGATGTTACATTAGAAATTTGCTTTGCCAAAGATGCAATAGTAATTTGCACTGCCCTGATTTTTGTTAACAAATGCAACTCAGATTTTTTTTCTGAGTTTTATTTATTGCTCAGAGAGTACTTATGTGAATGTGTGGTGCAGTTAATTTGTGTGTTTATTTAACATAATGTGACTTCCAGATGCAGTTGTTATGTCAGCCCACAAATTACCCGCTCATCACTAGAGTTCTTAGTAGATCATTGGTTAGAGCATCCCACTAGTGTCTGGAGGGTCATGGGTTCAATTCTGAGTCCTTCTCTCCACACATATCTTTCTATCTATAATTTAAATGTAGTTAGGTGATCCAAAATTGATTTATTTGCCAGCACCAACAATAACATTATTGGAAATCACATCATTCCTTGAACAACCCCCTTTTGCCTCTCCTTTGTGCCAAATATAAAGCAAGTGTGTTTTTGAGGCAGAGAATAAAACTTAATAGCTTGAGGAGGCAGGGCGGGGGGGAGTGTTGTAGGTGTCTTGTGAATCCGTGTTCACTGCTTCACAAAAACCAACTACAATCAGTGACAGACTTATTTTAGACAGTTTGTCCTCAATATTATTTTCTCTCACTTTACTGACACTCAAACTACATGTAACTTTCAAAAGGAAAATGCCATCTTCCTCCCCCCATTTTCTTACTTCCCCAATCTTGCTAAAAATAATGTTATCCTACTGTTCAAGTTACCTGACTGTAGGAAACCAGAAAACAAGCCACACTATTTGGTTAAGAGTTCTGAGCTGATATCTGACAAAGATATATATATCTACTAACTAAATTCTTCTTTGTGTATTTTGTTAGATTTGTTAATAAACCAGCTGGAAATGTTGGGTTGTATGACCCAGCAGAGATTCATAACAGGCATGAATTAAAGGGGTTTCTCAAAGAAGCTATGATCAAACTTGGATTTCATCTTGTATTTTTTTTCCTTTATCTTTACAGGTAAGGGTTTTATTTTCTCCTTTTTTGAGATGTATATTGGCTGGGGTGAAGGGTTGCCAAACATTTTGTTCAAGGTTTGGATTTAAGTGGTTTAAGAATCAAGAGGCCATCAATTATTATTCAAGCCCATGACCGTAAATCCAATGAAAAAATATGAGGCTTCATAATGGTTATGTTGTAGTTAGTTTTTTACCTCAGGTTAGTTGTGTTTTTCTTTTGTTTTTGGGTATGGTGATGCAGAGATGTTGCTAAGAGCCGGCTGCTGGCTAATTTCACTGACTGAAAAAGAGCTTATCACTAGTTCAAATTGCTCTGGAAAACAAAGACAAGGGGTAATTTTGATTATGATGCAGTTGGGTAAAAAAGCCGACCATGCTACTAAAACCCTTCAAAGACGTCTTAAAAACCAATGTAAAACAAGAAGTAAATATTCTTGTTCATAGATCACTTTCTTATTACTCTATTCAAGCATATTTTTTGGGCATGGTATATCCTCACACATAACATGTTGATGTTTGAGCGAAGAAAGAGTTGCTAAATGTGACCTTGTCAGAATGTTCGAACAAGTGAAGATTCAATTCATTGGATAGAAAAATGGCTATCATGCATGCAGGTTTTGAGATTGGTTCCATGAAATTTGGTAGTCAGCTCATGTGTGTAATATTATTTTATACATCCATATATGTTCTTAATCTATTTTATCCTTATTTTCTAACAGCTATATATTCAGGAAAAAATCTATTTGAACTTTATTTCAGTATGATTGCTGCCCTGTTAGCAGAGAGTGGCTCAGCCAAGTCAAAAAGTTGAAGGACCTTGATCTCGACACATTAGGACTTCTGAAAAACAAAGCTCGCCATTTCAGTAACACAGAAAAAGCTGTCACGATTCGTTTTTTACAACAAAGAATTCCAGGTCAGAGTACAAAACTCTGCCATGAAATGCTTGCATAGCTCTTTGTGTAGTACGTCAGTTAACATAGAGTGATGTTCGAGAAACTCTCTTGGGAAGTTAGCCATTTGACCTTCAAAGTCAGGAGGAAGTTTTGGGGGTGGGGGTGGGGGTGGGGGTGGGGTAGGGGTGTGCAGTAGCTAGAGAGTTCAAAGCAATAAACCTAATATGTTTTATGACTTTTTGTGGACTCTTGAGTCTTAAAGAAGGAAATTGTGCGGTTTTGCCATGAGAACTTTTGCAGAACTTTTGTATAACACAAGTCTTTTTGTTTGCAAAAATATGGAATACTGTGGAGTTGTCTTCTAATATTTTTTGTAGGATTTTTTATTCAATTTCTTACCTTCCTTAAAAAACACAATTTAATTCTGGAGTAATTCCTCTTTGCCCCAAATACTCCAATGATCGATCTTTTTATACACAAGGTATGGATAGTTATAAAGATGTAAATTGTTAATTTCATAGTTCATTTTATCTTTGGTTCAATTTTTATTGTACTTTTCTTTTTGTATTTAGCAAGGTATGGTGGTATCAGGATAAAGGCAAACAAAATTTGAACCATGGATTAGTAAATGTTTTGATAACTACGGGAAATTTTGTGTATCTTTGGTAAATGGGGTTGTGAGACTCTTGTAATGCAGCAACTCAGTTCTTTAACTAAATTTTGTGCTTTTAGCAACATTACAAATGCATTGTGGTAGACTTTTATACAAGGCATCAGTATTGTGAAAATCTATCTTGTAGAAGCAAAATTAATGCAGGTACGGTGTTAATGTTGCCTTGATGTGAAAATGCCTCAATCTGTATAGCTTTTATTTCCTTTGTTCTAGTTTTAGAGGCCCACCTTTATCCAACTGGCTTTGGGATGTTTTATAATTTTTGAAAGCTTTCATTGTGCACTGATGCAAATTATTCAATTACCTGGTTGTCCGATAAGGGAAAGTTGTTCCACAGCACTGAATGATTTTAGGTGGAGGAATCATAGTGTGCCTTTAATAACTGGGACCACAAAAATCAAACTATTTTCAAATCATTTTATGACACTTTGTTTTGATACTGCAGAAACCTTTAACCATACCTTAACAAAACCATTATTTATACTTAAAAACAATAACTAAAGTACAGTCATTGGCAACAAATATCAAAATAAATTTATTAATGCTTGGATACATAAATAAATATGTGTTGCTTTGTTAAAAACAACAGGAAATTTCAAAAAATCTAGGGTGCTTACCACTTGCACAAACGAATTCAAATAATAAAAGCCACAATGTACTGGTATATCCAAATAAACTGGAGAGACTAAAAAGTGTAGAAAAAATGTATTGCCCCCAGAGACAGCCCATTCGCTTGTGTAGCTGGAGGAATTAAAGGATAGGTGCTGTAGTTTTTTCGTGGCAGAGTTGCGTGAAGATTGGGATTGCTGCTTTGCTGCTCGCTGCGTGTGATGGCTTCACCGCCATGAAAGTACCTGAGGCATAACAATGCTCCCCCCCCCCCCAGCTACTCAGGCTAACAGACAGTATTTTAAGAAGCTTATCCCAGACCAAATGGTACAAACCATTTGATTTTCCGTTATTCCAATTTCCTGTCTCTCCCATGTAACTGGTACTAAGCATCATTAGACATTTAAAAGATGAAAAAGCTTACCCACATAACAATAGTATAATAACTATCTTATAAAAACAGTACACATTTGCTGAGACATTTTGTAACATAACATTGACAAGTTAATTAATTTTGCTAATCCACAGAATGTAAAATTGAAAAAAATTTGAAAGGAATTGAACCAGGCCACTAGATGACTTTTGACTCTATGAAATTTGTTGTTGTTGTCTTTTGCAAATACAAGGCAACTTGTTGGTGAGTCACTTACAGCCTTTTGGGCCTATATATTAGCCAATGGTGGTGGATCCAGGGGAGGCCTGGCCCCCCCCCTTTATTTTAGACCAAACTGAGGTCCGAAGGGCAGAAAAAAAATTTTAACACCAGGCCCTACCCCTTATCTCAGGGTCTGGATGACCCCCCCCCCCCCCCCGCCCTTGTATGAAGGTATGGACAAGGTTTCCTAGGGTATGGGGGAAAGGCTACTGCAGAAAAATATAGAAGAGCTTTTTTAGCGTTCTCCAAAAAAATTGCCTTTAATTGGATTGTACAACTTTTTTTTATAAAAAAAAAGAAATTGGTATATACAGGTACAGTAAAA